TTTTTTCCCCTTTTCTAAGCTTATTAAAAATACATATACATTGACAAAGATGTGGTACATGGGTGACCCCAAGGTTTGTTTTAACCAGCCTGGGATCAGAGACCAGCCTGGGATCCTACTGCCTTTGGAATCAAAACTTCCATCACCTGCTTTTTTTATTTTTTCTCAACTGTGAAGGAACAGGGCCCTTAGTAAACATGGATTCATTGCCTGAGTCTGCTGCAGATCCTTGTATATAACCTCTGCCAAACCTCTGTGTTACTTTTTTCCCTACCACGTAGGAATATTATGTGTAATTATTACCCCAAACACTGTAGTGTAAGAAACACAGGACTAAAATTCCTGCCAGTCTCCTGCTACAGAAGAAAACCACATCATTTGTTCCCTTTCCTAAACTGATTACCTCCTGTCTTGAAGTAATAAGGACTTTTACTGTCATGGGACTTCTCACCACTACACAATGCAACTTTCTAGAGCTTAAAACCAGAAGCCATGTAATTGCTCCTTAAGACTGCTGCATCTGTGCAGGACCACCACCAGTGTTTGCCTTCTTTTTAGTTTCTCCATTGTTCTGACCATCCCAGAAGCAGACTGCTGGACCATTTCCAGCTTGAATTCATTTCTCCTGGCTATTGGCAGCTGGAAAACTGGAGGCATTTTGGTAGTATCATGAACCCATTCCCACCCTTGCAATAAATTCCTCACTAATACACCTCAAGGTCCCGTTTCGCTTTTTTATCTGCATTTACACAGTAACTTAGCCTCTAGTAACAGCTGATGGCTTCCCCACTTGAAAATATTTGCTGTGAAAACCAAAATTTGCCATCAAATTGCAGTTTACAGGTTCTTAAGTTTCCTTCCACATCTGCTGCTGGAGTGTTCAAATGATACACCTTTTTTTCTGGATGGTGTTTCTGTCCTTACAATGACTATACTTCTTGGCTTCACCATGCTAACAACTTTGCATGGCCTGTAAGCTTTTGTCTGTGCTTTGTCCAGACATAATTTGTATCCCTTTCATTTTCTGACAGGAAGAACAGTGTGCTTGTAGAGTCCTATGCACATCACTGCTTACAATCAATAATAAAAGTTGTATGTTTTCTCTGAAGAAGAATGCATTTGCCATTGTGCATTAACACAGTTGCACTTAACCCAGAGATTTTTCCAGTCATTTTTGGTATGCAACACCTTAAACATTTCCTGGTGAAGGAGCAATTTTCTACGTGGAGAGCTGAAGCCTACAGACAGCTTGAGTCACCTTCTACCTCTGGGGCACAGGATGGCATGTTGCAAGCCTTTTAACTGAGCAAAGAACATGACCACCCTTTTTCCCTACCATCTGGAATAAGAAATACCTCTGGTTCACACCAGGAGTGATTCATACTCCTCTGCCTACAAATGCCATTAAAGTTCACGGTTCTGCCTAGAAGCCCTAGGAGGCATCTTTGCAGCTGCTGCTCCTTCAGCAGCCCTACTCAGGCTGACGAGGAACCTTCTGGGTTGTTTTTTTTTTTTTAAGACACAACAGCAGCAAGGCTTCTTAGCAGACAAAAACATAACTCTTCCAAATGCAAAAATTGAGCATCTACAAATGTGGAAAAAAGAAAAAAACAAAACCCAAACTTCGTAGAAGCGCAGAGCTTCACTGAGGATTTAACTATACCCACAGGTCAGGCTCTTAGCAGGATCCAGGTTTTCAGACGTTACATAATAGCATTGACATTGGTCGCTGCTCCTCCTCCTCTTGCTTCACTTCCTCCTCAATCACCCCCGGCTGCTGTGCAGCTGAGCTTTTTACAGCTCAAACTTGCACCAGCTGTTGCAGTTTCAGTCTCCACGGCAAGGGAACGTCCCTGCTTGTGTGTGCTGGCTTCTGCGTGTGATCAGAGATAAGATGCTTCTTACAGAAATCAAGACTTTTTTCTTAAAAAAGTATTACAGACATAGACCTTAACCATACCCATAGGCCATAGGTTGAAGCTCAGACAACGTTCTTCCAACCACTGCCCTGGCAAAGCAACTTCTGACTGCAAAGCCCTCTTTGCAGGCTACCCTTCCCATTGGCAGCCCCTTGCCAGCCCATTTGTGTCTTGCTGGCCCACCTGGTGCACTTCCAGGGACTTGGGTTTTCTCCCACATGGTTCATCCATCCCAGTATCTGATGAGTCGCTACTCGCAGCGACATCTCAGGCAAGAGATCCCATAGAGACCAATGTCCCGCAAGGAGATCTGCCATCAGGGAGCTGTCTTTTCCTCCCCGGCTTCAAGAAGTTGTGCATCTTTCAGGGTGTAGCTGGACTACAGGAATGTTTCTGCTAACCAGCACCTTCTCTTGCTATTTGAGAAGCTCTACCGAAACAAGTGGCCTCGCTTATTTCTAGCCTGTGTGGTGTTAACCTCTGCAGGAGGTGAATCCCATGCTCCGAGGTTCATGCTAGAAAGTCAAATATTGTCAGTACCTGAAGGGACAGGAAGATGTTCAGAATAATAATAGCTACTCTACAGAGATTTTTATGGGCACACAAAATGCAATTAATTGCTCTCATGTAGCATTTTGAGCTCTGTGCACAAAGCTGCAGCCTGAGCCTTGGTTGAACCAGATACTCCATGTGCTGGTGGCAACCCAAGATGTTCAGTGCACATCTGAACTCCTTTAAGCTAATTACTTTAATCATCAGTGCCCCATCCTCTCTTAACCTTTCCACCTCCTAGTCTACAGCTGTTTCTGTATCCTTTTAAATGGCAGACGGTGTGTTAGTAGAGACAAAAAGTTTAATACTCATGCAAAAGGGGAAGATTACTACAGGAATACCACTCTGAAACTTGTCTTGCCTGTACTTGTAAAACACAATTTGAAGCGGACTCTTCTATTTCTGCAGCAGATACATGGTAACTTTGAAAAATAAGTTAAAAAGAATTCTGGTTTAACTTGAAAGGCAAGAAAGCAGAGCTAAGAAACAGTCACTCAGAAAATCTGTATTTGAATCTCTAGTTTTGTCTTCTATCCCTCTACTCCAATCCCAACATGCTTCCGCACACTGGAGTTCAGAGATGCTCCACATAAAGGCATCATGGCATGCATAGTAATGCCTTGCCTTCACAGCAGACCTAACTTTGTGATATGAGTAGGTGCATTTTGCAGGGGGTTGGTATTGGAACATTTGGGGTTTAGATCAGTAATAGAAAAAGTTTTCAGAGCTGAATATAGTTCCATTCTCTGTCTAAATAAACAAGCATGGGTAACAGGTTTTTTTGGTTTTTTTGTTTTTTTTTTAATAAGGAATGTTGTCAGTCCTATTTTATTATGCGTAATAGAAGGAGGTGAAAAAAATCAATATAAGCACTGTATCTAACCTATTTAAAACTACAATCACAATGTTATCTGAATGCCTTACAACATTGTTTAAATCCAACAAGTAGACAAGAAAACAACAAATCTATGCAGGGTTTTTTATACATATGGTGAGAAAGTTTGCAAAGTGTTAAAATATATTTTCTGTTCTGTATGTTTCTGGTACAAGGAAGTGATGTGTAGAATACTGTATATTTATGAACAGAGCCTTGACTTATACAAGCAATAATCAACTTCAAAACATACAATGTATATCTTAAAATATCCCCTAGAGCTGCTCATATAAAGTCAAATCCAGCACCTACTAAAGTTCAGCCAGCTGACTCTCTTTGACTCCAGTGGGCACTTGACTAAGCCCATGATAATTGTGAAGTACCTGACAGTCTAATTGTATTCATATGAAAAAAATCACATTGCATAGATTTAAACAGGAAGACATGCAATAACAAGACAAGTCACAGTATAGCAAAACCTTGTTTCTTTGGTGAAACAGAAGCAGATATAAAAGTTACAAAGATTTTAGACTTTCATTCACAAAAAACCAGACATTCACATTATACACTATACAAGATAATAATATAAATAGAGAAAAGTATTATGTGCATTGTTTGGGGGCGAGGGGTGGGGAATGAACCGGCCAACACTGTGACGCACTGCCACATTGAACGCATAAAGATTGGGTACACTTGATGGAGCAGTCACTGCAATTTTTTTAAGAGATGTTGTCTGGAGCTGTAATTACTGTTCCCAATGAGCTATGGCAAGGTCACTCCATGGGCAGCTCTGCCTAGTACAAACTCTTACATGTTGGCTGGGTTTCAATTCTTTTCCTTTCCCTTTCAACTTTTTTGCATCATATCCCCACACTAACACAAAGGCATAAACCTCCCATCTGTGTTTGTAATTGTAATGTTATTTTAAAAGGTATATCATAGGGAACTTACTGTTCTTTATTTTCACCTTTCGTTTTGTTTTGGTTTTTGTTTTTTGTCCTGTGCCCAAAGGTGTGCAAGGCACTTTGCAGAAATAACAGTCCTTTCTGTGGAGAGGTCGTTTCAAATGTTACCTTCTACATTTACTGTACACATCCAGGTCAGTCATCGAGCTGACCAGGGTAAGAAATCATAATAGAAAACTCCTACGTACACACTGCACCAACTACAACCTATAATCTCTTTGTGCACACACTTCTTTCTAGAAAGCCAAGATTCTGATTCTTCTGTAAGTCACACGGTTCTCACCCATCTAACCACAAACAAATGATCCTGTATAGCAGGAATTTTGTTCTCCAGGGAAATAGCAGTTGAACTGAAAGATGGTTCCAAAAGTGGAGCTCAGGGGCTAATACTGCACTGGCGAGCTCTTTTAATCTTCTTTGCATGGGTAAAATAACATCCAATAAATTAAATCAGTATGGCTTACTTCATTTATTTATGTACGCTTCACAGCTGCAGCATTCATACACAAACATTCATTACTTTATAAAAAGATTAAAAAATGGTTATATATACAAAATTATTTACTTTTTTGATTTTTGTTTGTTTTTTACAAAAAAAAATCCCCCAAACACCAGGTCTATCTCCATTTCAGAATGCAGAGACCTGTAATATAGACCTTGTGGTTAATGTCGTGAAAGTAATTTTTTTTCCTTTTTTTTCCTTTTCAAAAAAAGTGGCCCTGGTTGATAAAGTTAATGTATTAGCACTTGGATTTTTACAGGCCCTCCTTGTCATACACAACTCCTCCATGCAGTCCTTTCTCATGAATGGTGAAGCTGGAATGGAGAGCAGAAAAAAAGTTCCACATTGCAGTCCCTAGTTCATGCTTCATGCCACTTTTATGTGCTCTGTCTAAACTTTGCATCACATGGACACAAACTGTACCTTGGATAGAAATTGGCACAGTTGCCATTAAAAAAAAAAAAAAAAGTCATGTCACTTGTGTGTTTATCTTCACCTGATAAGAGCAAATTTCAGTCAGTGAAGTTATTTCAACCATTTCCAGCCTAGGTAAACAACATAGAAACAATGTCATAAATGACTGAAGACCTCTGAGGCCATTCTAACCATAAATATGCCTGAAATTAGTGTGACTTTTCATTTTATATACAGGATTTTAAAAACAACACACAATTAAACAACATTAAAATCATCTTATTTACATTTTCATTGGTGCTAAAATCGAGCTGTTTAAATATTGCAGAAGGCTGGTATATATCATAAAATGGTCCACACCGATGGCATATAGAAAACTAATAATCTTTATAGGCTGGAAATGGTTACCTTTTATCCCCATAAGCACTTCTCCTTTTTTTTTTTTTTTTTAATTTTCTGATAAACACCATATTTTTGCAAAATGCATTGTGAATACCGCAGTCCATAGTTTCAAAACAATTCGATAATACTCCCATAAGTGATAGAAAAGGCACAGAAAGTAATGACTTTGGCGGAAATGGTGGAAATCCCCATTCACCATTTAGCTCTCAGCGCCTTGAGTCCTGCCATGTCCTGATCCAGCGATGGTAGTGTTTTGATGAATTTAATGATGTTCCCTTTCCTGATGAAGAATGTTTATAGTAGTATTTCTTAGAGTAAGTCCTTTGGTATGTGGACGCTGCAATGAGAAGGAGGAAAAAGGGGAAATTAATTTAAAATTATTTAACTATGACTGGGCTGGCTATGCTTCACATTACAGTTCCATTTATTCTTGATTAATTAGAGGGTTAACAAATGAATAATTGGTACTATGACCACGTTACAGACAGGAGAAGCATCTCTTACACACACTTAGACCACAGTTGCAGAAAGAATTGTTAGTATTATTAGGAACCTGTTGATTTCAGGGGCTTTGTAAGAGCATTGTTTTTCACTTTAAAAGAATCTTAGTGGCTTCTGTAAAAACAGAAGAGGAACATTTTCATTAGTTTTGGAGGCCTGGTGTTTTTTCCTACAGCTAGAGTGAGCAATACTACTGTCATACTCTGTCATACCAGATTTGTACTTCTCTTAAACTACATGTTCATTACTTATTAATCTTAAATTAGTCTATTGCTTCTGATCCAGCACTGGTTTGCTTTCAAAGAACTCACGATTCATGCAAGTAATTTTAGGCATATCCCATCTTCCATTCCCTTGACACCGGATGGTTGGAATATGGCGCTGGATAAAACCATCTTTGCAGTGATATCTAATAAGGGAGTTGATCTCATAACGAGGTTTCATCTTCCCAAAGGTCTTTGCATTTTCCACAACAGGAGGCTGACCACAAGCAACTGAAAGGAAGAGAGAACATAACCCAAAACATCAGTTTGTAAATGCACTTCTGAATATGGTACTGACCTCTAAACCCTGGCTAAGGGAAGATGTCAAAGGACTTCAGTTAGACTCCCAAGAGGCATATCCAAATAAGGATGGGGAGATCAATCTTTTATGTAGTTCTCCAGTCTTGTAGACCAAATACAGTAATGATGAAAATTGGAAAACAGCAGACCGTACGGCTAGTATTGCCTTTGGGGTTTAAATTTCTGATGTAAATTTGAGCCAAAAAGGTTGGCATACTCACATAAAGAAGTGATTTTCACTGGAAAGCTGCAAAACCTGAAAATCAGTGAAGTTATTACAGGCATTTAAGAAAAAAGTCTCATTTTCAATACTTCTCATGTCTTCCTCAACAATAGACTATTTAAAATCACTTAAAACTGATGGATCCTTCAATGCCCAGAGAACATGTTAACAAAAAGTTGTAAATGGTAATCAGGAAACAATGGAGCACACACAAGATTTTGGCTGCTTCTTTCCTTTCCCAGTCTGAAGAGGCAGAGGCAATTCCTAAAGTATTTCTGTACAGCTCCTGGTAACAGTCAGGTTTCTAAGTATCAGCTTTAACAGTGTAGAAACCAAATGTGCTTTTCAGATTCCAGCAGTGCCATTAAACTAGATGGTTTTGGAAAAGAGGAAGACAAAGTTCAACATTACTTGACGGGTGAAGAGTAAGCTCAACTGAAAACGAAAAGCTAACCACATACCAATGGTCAGCTGCCTGCTCTGACTGCCTACCAGTATTCTGCTGCCCACATACTTCACGGTGATGCCATTGCAGGAAAGAAGAGTTGGCAATATTTTCATGGTATGCAAGTAAAGCAGGCCTGCCGGGTGCATGAATGCCTGTTTTGCTGAGATCTGTACCTAAGAAGAAATTTGCCTGGTTTTAACCAAGAGTTTCAACTGTGTGCACTTTTGCTCCTGACTCAAGAACAGATTAGCTAGAGACGTAATACATGGATACAGACGAAGGATGACTTTGTGAGGCTAACTCAATTGAGGGCTGACTGTATTGGTCACCAGAAATCAGCTAGAAGATGTCATTTTAACTTTATAAAACTGGAATTTAGAGCCTTATGCTATTGTTACTGGAAAGTTTGTACCTGTTCCTTTCTTGCAGGTATAGGTAAGGTGATAATTGCATGGTACATCATTCCACTGCCCATTCTCATGCCATATTATAACAACACAGTCTTCTCCAGCAGAAAAGAAGCTGTCTGGCTGATTTGGTCGCCAGTTCTCATATTGCTGCAGAAAAGAGGAGCAAAACCATTATTCCCAGTGCTGGAGTATATTTACATTCCATTTTACAGAAGAACACACAATATTAACTTCGGTGAAGAGCAATCTCAATTGTTTGATTCTAGCTGTTAAGCACAAACTAAACAAAGCTATATTTATAATATCCTCCCACTCTATTAACAGATTATATTAATGGGGAAAAAAAATCTGATCTAACTTCTCACTTACTGTAAACTGATCTCAGATGAACAAAACAAAGTGACACATTTCAGCATAAGCAAAATCTGATCCTAAGTGTGTTGAAACACACTCTTTCCTACATAGACAGACATGAAGTGGAATGCTAGGAAATGTAGTAAATAGCCTGTAACCCTTGTTAGTCCATGTCTACTAAATGGCAAATTACAGGCTACCTTCTCAGACTCAAATTATTTATTCTCTGACCTCATTTAATGAAGTCATTCAATGGTATGACGTGCAGAATTAGGTGTAAAATAAGTAAAGGTGTCAAAATGTGCCCCCAGAGCATTGCAGATTGATATTTCCATTAAAAAGGCCTAGGTGGCAGTCTGAGCATATACAGCAGCCTTTCAGCTTTAGAAATGATGATCCAAATTCTGCCCTCTGCAGAAAAACTAACTTCAGATATCTGTGAATGTATATGAATAAAACCAGGAACTAGTACACTAGTTTTACAAGTAGAAATCTGATTGTTGGTATGTGACACACACAGAAAAAAGAACATTCAAAAAGCTGAAAAATATCTTTAGCATAAAAAATAAAAAATAGTTTCTTAGCCCTGCACCTAGGACATACATCTGGCATATCGATTTGGGCAGGCTCTGTCCTTTGGGATCCAAGCTGGCTCCATGTAGGTCTGCAGTTATTTAGCTCTACATCTCTGCAGCTTTCAACTCTACATCTACCTAAAGATATGTCCCTACCAGGAGCTGCAGATGCTGGCTGCTGGCAGGCTCACACAGCTCCATGCACGGGCTAAACCTGCATTTATTCCACTGTAGAATGGACTCTTTCTAGCATGGCTAAGCTCATCATTGCACAATGTCATTTTGGGATGAAAATTAGGGAGGATTCAGTCTGTTTCTCAATCAATAAGCAAGTAAAATAGAAACAAAGGGAGTGTCACACCAATTGAAAACCTGTGCAGTAGTCCTTGGTAGGGGACATACAGCCTACTGTCCTTGCAATCAGCAGAGTTGGGGTAATCTTTATCCCACTTCTTGTTTTATCTTGGTCCAAAATGAAGCACAGTAAATTGAGATTTGCATAATGTTATGTAAAGAAAAGCAAGAGAAGGTTTGGGAGACTATTCTTAGCGATTTTCTTTGGGATTTCTGTTGTGTCACTCCAAGAAGAATTTAATGAAGGATAAAAATAGATATCTGAAAGAACTGGAATTCACATAAATGCCAGACATTAAACAGGCAGCTAGCCCCTTGTATGGTCAAAATGACACAGTTTCTACAGTGCTTATATTTTCCTCAGTGCTTACATCTTTCTGTCTAGAGTTGGCCCATATAAATGTCATGAAAGTTTAGCTTTCTATTTTCTTAACTTTATGAAATAACCGCTATTCACTGCCTGGGTGAACACATTTTAGAAATAAAGTTAATATATCCCACACAAGTAGTATTTACCTTACAATGAATCAAACTATGAAAAAACTGAGTTAAATACTTAACGTTTTCCAACCATGTGTCATCTTAACCATCACAGGTTTTAATTATCCAAGCAATTTAACAATCATGGTCTAAATAAATTCGTTCTGCACTGAATTTATTACCTCTAATAAAACATCCCCCTTTTTATGTGGAACTAACTTAATTCCATTTCTACCTTTCAGTGTTTAATAGTCCTAAACTACAATACACACTAACTCATTTACTCAAGTCCAGAATTCAGCATTTCACATTAGCTTATAAATCAAAGTATGAGTTTTGCAAGCACAGTAGCCAAATACCATACATATGAGTCAAATGGGATCTGGGGGGGGGGGG